GGCATTCAAGGCCAGGCTGGATGTGGCTCTGGGCAGCCTGGGCTGCTGGTTGGTGACCTGCACATAGCAGGGGGTTGGAACCAGATGATCACTGTGGTCCTTTGCAACCCAGGCCATTCTATGGTTCTGTGATTCTGTGATTCTACAATTCTATGATTCTATGATGTGCAGCTGCATGCCAGACAGATGGAAGAGAACAGACTGAGAAGAACCACCACCATTTTCCAATTGTCACGACACAACCTAACGTTTCTTACAACTTCTGGGTTAGCTAAGCCAAACATAAAAGAAGACATCCCCAGCTACACTTGTGCAGATTTGTCTCTTTCTTCAGAGTTCATTAAAAGAACCACTTTCATCTCGTTAGCTTGCTAAAACATTTCCAACAGGACTAGATGTGTCATGTCAGAATATGACAGGCAAATTTCTTTTCAGGTTTTGAAAGTAGGTTGAAAGAGGAGAAGCTATGCAGTTCTCTGTTGTCACTGAAAGATATTTTTACTGTTATGAGTTTCTTATACAAGAAACAAATTAAGAACTGTCAAGGAAAAAGAAAAAACCCAAACCTAAAATGTATTCTGTCTTGCCTGCTAATATAGTTACTGCTTTTCTCTAAAATTTCTCAGCCTAATAACAAGAAGTACAAGGAAATGAACAATGATTGCTAGCGTTTTGTTTTGTAAGCACCGTAATCCAAAAGGAAGGGAAAAAAGTGCCAATAATGCAATTCATCTTTTGCAACTACAAGCCAAAACAGATAGCCTCTCTTTCCTCTGCCCCTGCTCTTATTTCTGCCCAGCTCAGAGGGTGCTGTGCCATTGCAGGGCATGGGAAGCGGCACCCACAGCACCCAGGGATGCAAAAAAAGCATCTGGGAAGGGGCTGAAAGCACGAAATTGCTGAGGGCTGAGCCACAGACACACAGCAAAGAGCAAGGCCCCGAGTGGGTGTTCACAACAAATTGTTGGGTTTTGATGGCATTTACCATCAGATTACTGAGACGGGCTGTAAACCAGTGGGTGGGGACTGCTTCTCACTCTGAAGAAGTTCATTAGATTATCAGTAATTCAGTTACATGGAGAGCAAGTAGAGCCTGGAGCTGTTTTGAGGGGCTCTTTGATAAAGGTCAAAACAATATATCAGCAGGCTATTGGGACTGATGGCTGTTGGGAAGAAGATAGTACATCAAGAGAAACATTGTACTCTCGCCCAATTTTTCTCTTTATTACATACTCCCATCTTTGGTGCAACTTAAATGTGAAAAAAAAAAAGGAACTGCAAAGATGCCCATCAGTGGGGCACTGCCAGCACTGCTGGGAAATAAGATGAGACTGTTTGGGAGGATGTAGGGGGCTGGAAGCAAGATCCAAAAAAATACATGTATCCCAAAAACCGAGGATTTTTGGTGTAGGCAGGTGAAGCCCTGTGTCCTCCTGAATGCTGCAGCCATCACCAACCTCTCGTTTGGGAAGGAGGAATACTGCCCTGGCTCACCATCCACAAAGGCAGCTGCTGAGTAAGTGGCCGGACCTTGGTCCTGAAGCCGCGCCAGCCAACTCAGGCGCTGTGCATTAGCATTTAAATGCTGAATTCCCCAGTGTTCAGGGAATAGTTCCTCCCTGCTCACCACTGGAACACTGCATGCATCTGACTATTCTGCTGAATAGTAACAGGCTGAGATATTGGTGTTGTCCTAGGCTGGGGCTGCTTGATGAACAAGCACATTCACCAGAGTTGTAATTCCCTACAAAGTCCCACTCATTAATAACAAGTCTTGCCTCAAAGCTACCATCCAGATAATCCAGAAAAGGAAATCACATATTCCAAATTCTGCCTGCCCTCAATGTTTATTTCAAGATATAAGATCTTAACAAACGTTGACATTCATTGCAGTCCTACATCAAAGCGAGCTCCCAGAGACCGGGTGGGGGGAGAGGAGGACAAATTTTTCTTGAATCACTCTCACCCTCTGACTGGGATCTTCAAAGGAGCTCCAGATTTGCCTGGTAAAAGCCGTTTTTTAGCTGCAGAAAACAGCCTGGTCACTGCCTGATACTGAGCACACTGGCTTGCATGGCACGCTTGCACCTCTCAGTGTGCCCCCCGAGCCACACAGCCCTCCACTTGCTTTTGAGACATGGATGAGGATGTGAAAGAATCCCAAGCAGACGTCACCAGCCAGGATGGGCACAGCCAAGGCGCTGTGGGAATCACCACCCTGTGCTGAGGGAAGTGCCACAGTACTGTGTTGTCACTGCCAGTGCAGGCTGGCCTGCAGCCCTACCTGCCCCAAGCCCCATCCTCGCTAAGCTCTCCAGGTGCTGCAGTTTCTACCTGCTAGTTCTTCCCCACTGCCCGGCATCTCAAGGACTAACCGGGCAGCACGTAACCTCTCCTCCGCGCTCTGTGAACAACGCCTGCTCGCCGTTCCTTTGTCTTAGCATTTTCTCATCCGCCTGCACATTCCTGTGCTCCTTCACAAGGCGACAGCCGGGTGTGAAACTGCTGTAGCCATTCACGGGGATGAGATTTATTATCTAGAGGCGCACCAATAACACAGCATTAAAAAAAATAAAACAGCGGTCTCTTTCATCAAAATCTAATGAACGCGCAATTTAATCTTTATTAAGAATTCATTAGGTTCTCAGCAAGCCCGCGTAATGGAGCTTGACCAGGTGAAATGCTAATGCCTGCATTATATTTAAATTAATTTTCAGAAGCGTTCGTTTCCCCGTGGTGCCTGCAGTGCCGGCTCCCTCCGTCTGCTCCCAGCAACGCCGCGTCCCCACCCAGCCCAGCCCAGCCTCACGCGGCCCCGCTGCACGCCCGGAGCTGCCGCCGCTGCAGCCGGCTCTGCGTCTTCAGGCACAGGGCTGCAAGCTGCCGTGCATCACGCTGGGGCTGCTTCCTTGAAAATACAGATGTACAACAGGCTATTTCTCAGCCCTCACTTTACTAATGTAGCTGAGCGAGCCGGCTATTATCTGGAACCAGTTCGGTTTAAACAACAAGAACTCTGCTCCCCGCAGCACAGGAGCCCCGTGCACGGTTGTGTAAGGCCACAGCTGCCCCTTCACAACAGCTGTCGCTGTTATTGTGGCAGCCACAGCCTCTCTTTCCACCAAACCATCGCCCGCCATTCCAGCACGCTTCCGCAGAAGCGATTCCTAGAGATTAAATAATTTATTGGTGTTCATCTGCAGTAGCTCCTCTCCCGATCCACCTTTCGCATACAAACCAAACCCGTCCTCCCGGCCCCAAATCCGTCCCCAAATCCCCGAAGCCGGCCCCAAATGCCCTTTCACGGGGGCTCGGAGCCTTTGCACACCGATAGCAGTGTGAGAGGCGGACGGAACGGCGCTGAGGGCGAGGCTGCTCGCTGCCACAGCCCTGCAGCTCTGTGGGAAGAGCGTTGCCTTGGGCGGGGACGGTGGTTCGGTCCTCTGGAAACCCCCGCAGGACCGGCTATCCCCGTACGCTCATGGCACCGAGCCGGGCTACGAGCCCGCGGCGAGCCCACGCCCGCGGGTTGGCGAGCGGCGCCCGAGCCCCTTCGGCTGTTTCCGAGCCTGCTCGGCTCCCCCCCGACCGCCTCCGAGCGCTCTCCGAAGGCAGCCGAGCGCCGAGGGAGGAGCCGAGCGCAGCGCTAGCGGCGGTTCGAGTCCCCGCTGGGCGCTGTCCACCACGCGAACCGCCTGAAAGCCGCACCGCGCCGCGCCCGCGGGACAACGCGGAGGGACTGCGGATGGCAGCGGGCACACCGCCCGCACCGCCCGCATCCCGCTGCCCGAGGGCCCCTCCCAGCCACCGGCTCCTCCGCTATCGGGAAACAAGAACCTCTCCGTGCCTCTACCACTGTGACACCCGGCCCAAAGCACAGCTATGGCGCCTGCTCGTTCCAGTGGGAAGCTGGGGATGGATGGGCTTTAATTAAAAGGAAGAAAAGGGAATGGAGTAATTCTGCACCTCCACACCTCTGCTGGTTGCCTGCACCCTCACTGGCTTCCCCGCGCCTCCATTAGCTCCCTGTGCCTCTGCTGGTTCTCCCACACCTCTGTTGGGTCCCTATGCCTCTGTTGGATCCTCATGCCTCCATTTAGCTCTCCACACCTCCTTTGGCTCTCCCACACCTCTGTACACTCTCTGACACCTCTACATGCTCTCCTACATCTCTATACGTTCTCCCACATCGCCAGTGGCTCTTCCATATTTCTGTTGTCTCTCCCACACCACCATTGACTCTCCCACATCTCTGTATGCTCTCCCAGGTCTCTAAAGGCCCTCCCACACTTCTGTTGGCTCTCCCACACCTCTGTTGACTCTCACATCTCTACAGGCTCTCCCACACCTCTATAGGCTCTCCCACACCTCTGTTGACTCTCCCACACATCTGTTGGCTCTTCCACATCTCTACAGGCTCTCCCACACCTCTGTTGGCTCTCCCAAACCTCTGTGGGCTCTCCAACCCCTCATTAAGCTCTCCCTCAGCCCCGTTGGCTCTCCCCCTGGAAGCACTGCCTGGCCACGTGCTGGGATCACTGTGTGCCGGGGGCACGGTGTGGGGCAGCCATCCCGGCCCATTCCCACTGGGGCCTGGCACAGCTGTCAGGGAGATGCTGCGTGAGAACAGGGCTGATTTTTTCAGCGCTTTGGGTCGCGTGTTTTTCTTTTCCGTTTTTAATAACCCGTTTTCAATGTAATCGGAGACCGGCAGCCAAGTTCGCCTCTCATTAATTAAAAGGCTCAAATCTCGGGTAAAAGGGGCTTTGGGCGGCAGCGAGCCTCGCTTTAAATCCGCATTACGGGCGGATTTCGTGCTTTTTTCCCCCCTCCTCCTCCTCCCAAGCGCCGGTCCCAGCCGCGGCCGCCCCCCCGCCGCCCTCAGCCCGGCGTTCAGCACCACGGGGCCCCGAACAGCAGCGGCCGCCGCCTCCCGCCCGGCGCTGCCCTCGGGTACAACATGGCGCCCGCGGCCCTCCGCGCCGCCCCGCGGCACTCACTTCATCTGCTTCACGATGGTGCTCTTCCCCGACTCGCCGGCCCCTGCGGGACAGAGAGAGAGAAGCGGTGAGCGCGGGGCGCGGAGCGGAGCGGGGCGCGGAGCGGAGCGGGGCTCACCGAGCAGGAGCAGCTTCACGTCTTTGGCCGCGCTGATGCCGTCCTCCTTCAGGTTCTTCTCGATGGCCTTGCTGCGCTCTAGGGCGGCCCGCTCCTCGGCGCTCAGGGTACATCCCATGGCGAAAAGGGATTTAATTTAATTTAAAAAAGAAAAAAAAAAAAAAAAAAAGGAGGGGATAAAAAAAAAAAAAAGCGCAGCCCCCGCCGCCGCCGCCGCCGCCGCCCGGGCGCAGGGAGCAGGAGGCAGCGCAACGCCGAGAGCCGCGGGGATTAACAAAGGCCTGCGGGCTCCGCAGCGGCGGGGCCGGCGGCTCCGTGCCCGAGCGCTCAGCGCATCCACGGGCTGCGGGCAGCGCGGGCGGCCGCGGGCGGGGCGGGGCGGAGCAGAAGGAGGAGGAGGAGCGGCAGGGGGAGGAGGAAGGCCGGCGGCGGGGGTGGGTCCGCGCCGCTCCGGGCTGCGCGCTTAGCGGGCGCGGGGCTGCGGCGGGCGCTCGGCTGGAGGCGCGGCGGCGGCGGCGGCGGCGGCTGTGCCGGGGGAGGGAGCCGCGATCCGCGCTCCGCCGGCCTCGCCCGCTGCCGTGACGCGCGCGCCCCGCGCATGCTCCCACCGCCACGCCTCGGCGCCGCACGGCGCGGCACCGCCGCTCTCCGGCGTGACGGGATCCCTCAGCGGCGGCACCGCCGGCGTCCCGGCTCGTGGCAGCGGCACTCAGCTGCTGGGGGCACGCCTCTGTGCTGTGCTGGGCGCTGGGTCCATCAGTGCGAGAAACACATGGAGCGTGTCCGGGGAAGGGAGCGGAGCCGCGAGGGGTCTGAGCGCAGCGCTGTGGGGATGGGGTGGGTCAGCGTGGAGAAGAGCAGCTGAGGGGAGAGAGAGCTCATGGCTCTGCAGCCCTGACAGGAGGCTGTGGGGAGCGGATGTCAGCCTCCCAGGTTACAGCGATAGGGTGGGAGGTGGTGGTGTCACTTGAGGGTCAGGTTGGGTATTGGGAACAATTCCTTCTCCCCGAGAGCAGTGATGCGGTGGCACAGCTGCCCAAGAGGTGGGGGAGTCACCGTCCCTGGAGGTGTCCCAGAGCTGTAGGGATGTGGCACTGATGGATGTGGGCATGGTGGGGGTGGGCTGAGGTTGGACCTGGGGATGTGAGAGCTCTTAATGATTCTATGAAATCGAGGCCTGTGTTGTAGGGAACAGACTGTCCTCTGCCATGGGCAGCCAGGACGAGGAGTTTGCTGAAGGGATGGAATTGCTGCCACACCCCACGCTGCCTCCCTGCAAAACAGAACCAGGATGATGCTGTGGGGCCGCTGCCCGCTGTGACCCATCCATAAGGAAACACGGGGTCCAGGTGGGGCTGGGCAGGGGCTGCCGTTTCCTGGGCCAATGGCTCACACTGCACCAAGCCTCCTGTGGGCTCTTCTCACAGCTGCTCTCCTGTGTTCTGCACTTCCCGTAGCCACACACCCTTCCTGTAGGGGTGGAAATATAATTTCTATAGACACAGCTTCCCTGGTTTTCTCCTTCTAGAAAGCATCACCTCCTTACACGACCTCCTTCCCATAAAGCACTGTTTCCATTTCCCTCTACACCTCTGAAACAAAGGGGAGAAGCGTGGCATGTGGTTAACAATGTAAAGTAGAGATGTGAGGCAGAGCAGACAAAGGGAAGTAAAAAGGAGCTCATAAATAATGTTAGCATACTCAAGGGCCAGCAGTATTTACCGAACATTTGTGAGCTAATAGGTACTGAATATCTGAATTTGGGGTAATTTATTTCTGAGAGCCCAGGGGACCAAGGGTATACCTGCATGGAAAAGCCAGCCTACTGCCTGCGTTCAGCAGGGAGCAAGGGGGGGTGGGGGTGGCTGCAGAGCAGTTCCTGCTCTTTCATACTTGAGCAAATCTCTTGTGTAAAATCAATAGGATCAGAATTTCAATCAATAGGTTTCATTTCAATGGTACCAGCCGGAGGGCATTATGGAAAGTGCAGTACAGGAAAACCGCAATCCAGAAATCCAGAGGCGGTGTCCTCGTGAGATGGCTGCATTTACTGCCCATCTACCCAGCAGCTTGCCAGCCTTGGAGTCCTGTTGGGATCCTCTCCAAGGATTTTTCTAAGAGAATTGGTCTTTTGTATCAGCCTCTGGCTATTTGTTAACAGGCAAATTTATATGAGAGCTGCTCTGAAAGCGGTGCCTCCTCTTTTATGATGCTGTCCCACAACGTCAGAGGTGGATGTTGGTGGTAAGGCAGTAGAGACTGAGCCTTCCTGCCAATATTCCATTACATTTTGCTGCTGTGTGATAGCAGTAGAGGGGCAGCCTGACAGGATGGCATCTGACATGGAAGTGCGTACAAAGCAAAGGTGTGGAACTGATCACAGAATCATTAAGGTTGGAACAAACCACTGCGATCCCCAGCTCCAACCCTCAGCCCACCCCCACCATCACCACTGCTCACGTCCCTCAGTGCCACATACCCATGGCTCTGGGACACCTCCAGAGATGGTGACCTCCCCACTTCCCTGGGCACTGTGGCACTGCTCACCACTCTTCTGGAGAAGAAGTTTTTCCTGACATGCAGCCTGAACCTCCCCTGGCTCGACTTGGGGCCATTGCCCCTCATCCTGTCACTGTTTACCTAGGAGAAAAGATTCGCTGGTGCAGATTTTTATGAGCACGACTTGCAGGCTCCTGTTCATTGCTAGTAAAATGCATAGCTAATAGTGACTGTGTGAAAAAATAATGTTCTGTAGCTAAGATTTTGCTCTATCAAACAGTGTTGTGCTTTTTGTAGCTGCTGTGATTTCCACGTAAATAAATAGAAGGCATTACTTTCGGAGCGACCTGAACCTCCTGCCATTGAGAAAATTTCTCTTTTCCCTGCCAGGTGCAGGATCTGTGCTTGGCATTTTGTCCAATGTACACTGCTAGGCTCTCCATGAGTACCCACTGATTTCTTTCCCGAAGGGAAATTGGCAGTGGTTGGGTCGTCACCTCGTGCTCTCAATGAGATTCAGGACAGCAGCTGTGAGATTGAGCCATTTCTGAGCCGGTTTTGTGCAGCTGCTAATTGAGCAGAGCTGATGGAAATGTTTCCTTTGAAATTTTTGTAGTGGGAATTTTCATTTTTTGACAAATCTGCTTTTTTTCATGGCAGATGAATTTCAAGAACCTGAAAAGAAGAAAGCCTAACCTCCCCCAGCAAACCATCAAAATACGTACCAGCCTACTTGTCTTCAGAGATAAATATATAGAGTTTTGTTCCTGAAAATGATGTTTCCATTTTTCAGGACCTGATTGAAGTCTTTTTCTAATAAGAAATGGTTGTTTTCAGTTAAAAAAAAAAAAAATCAGATCAAGACAGGAGCTTTTTTTTTTAAATATGACAGAATCTTTTTGAAAAAGGTGGGGGTGAGGACCCTTTTTTTTTTCTGGCCAGTCCTGCAGTGAAGCTGTCCTACCCCAGCTGTGTCAAGAGCATGGGGCAAGGAGGTGGAAGCTGGAAGTGTGCCTGGAGCTGGGGCTCAGGGAGCCCTGACTTGTCCCTGTGGAGCATCACAGAGCCCGCACCAAATGCACCAGGTGCTCCTGCCATCTCGCCATTAGGAAGTTTTCCCCGGATATTCAGCCTAATTTTTCATTCTTTGAATTGATGTCAATTACCCCCCAGCTAAACCTAGTTATGCAGTAGAAGACAGGTTTAAAATACTGCATGATCTCACTAAATTGAAGAAATGGACTGGAATCAATACAATGAGAGGCAATAAGAATGCCCATAAAGGTTAAGTGGTTGGTGGAGGAAGGATTAATGAAATGCACACGTACCAGGTCAAGTTGCAAATACCCTCACTTTGTTCTTACTCACTCCATACTCCACAACTACATTCTCGTCCTTCGAACTGAATGAGGTGCCTCAGATTCTGACTCATGACTTGGAGAGCTATGAGACCAGCGTCAAGGAATGGTTGGGTTTAGTGCATGGAAAATGCAAGAAAAAGGTTTTACTGCTTCTTATTTAATTCTGCAAAGAGCCCCAACTGATGGCTTCTCCGAGTGAGGAAGAGCAATGTGAGCTCCTCTCCTTCCCCTGCAGCGACTTTCAACTCAGCCTACAAAGGTTTTCCAGCGTCAATGTTTTCCATTTTCTAGTGGTTCAGGGACACGTGGCAGATAAAGAGAAAAGCTTGTAGGCCTAAACAAACAAACAAACAACCAGAAGTGGAATAATGAGCTTTTGCTGCTGATCATTGGAGAGAAAATCAGTCCAGGTTCCCTTGTGGGTATTCTCATTCCTGGGGACAGGTTTGTGTAGAGATGCATTATTGTCTGTCCTTCTGCCTTGTCTGATTTCTGCCTGTATGGCACTGGGTAAGCTGTACCTTGGCAGAGACGTGAGAATCTAAGTGAAACAGAACTAAATGTGGGGAAGAAACTTATTCCTATCTATTTTCTGCTGTATGGAGCATACAATAGCATCCCTGGTTCAGCAGGTGCACAAGTAACCTTGAAAAGCCGTGAGACTGCAGCTATGCAGTGCTGTCCTTCAGGCAGAATGAGATAGTGCCAGAGTGAGGCGGGGTGTTTGACCTTGGCTTGGGTCTTAAGGAGGGCAAGGGCCCCGTCAGCCCTTTGCCACTCATCTTTCCTCAGTATCAAGGATGAGGATCTCACAGGAATGAAAAGAATCTGCCACGGTCCAGGAAAACGGGTTAGAGAGGCAGCCCTGGTTCCTCCATGCAGAGAAACCCATCATTGCTTGGCCTCGACAAAACCAAGTTAAACCTCTGCACGGTCTTAATGAACCCAAGTTCAACCTTCTGCATTAAGCATTCAAGTTCAGCCATGCAACTGATTGCCCGTGAGTGCCATTTTATCCAGCTCCTGTCATCATACGCAGGATTTGGATAGACAATTTAGGCAGCTCCATTTACAGCACTTCAGTAGCTTTCCTGTTTTTATATAAATGCTATCCAGAAACCTTGCAGATCTCATTCACACAAGTGGTCCTGATGAGGGATCTTATGGAGGAACGCTAATTCTGTCCCTACAAATCTGAGCACATACTTACCTCATAGCTCTCAGCAGCTAACTCTAAGTGCAAATATACCATTAGCTAAATGCAGCTCCTACCATTTTTCCCTGCAGAACCCCATTGGT